CATGTCCGCAAATACTTCGTTTTTGAGTTTACGGTAGATGGCGCTGTATTACTATGAAGACTAGTTTACATTTGTCATTCGTGTACATTGGTGCCTAGTCTGTCTTCAACATTTGGGTAGTAGTGAGTAAACAGGATGTTCATATCGCGAGCAGGAAGATATTTGCATACGACCGCGCGAATGGTAATGGACACGAGGCTCCACGGCTGTTTCAGACTGCGTTTCCAGATCGAAGGCAGCCGAGTCATCCAGCCTTTGCTGCTTTTTATCGTTGCTTTGCTGAGACCGGATCCGTGGCACCACAAACTATATATCGAGGAAGACCGAGATCCGCTCGTACACCTGGCCACGACGAACACAGTCTATAAACTGTTAGCGACAATCAAGGTATCAGCACACATCGAGTGGCGCTAGCATGTCGGGCATTTCATCGTACCACATGGAGGGTACTTCAAGAGCATCTCCTGTATCCTTATCATATGCAACGCGTGCAGTGTCTTTCGCCCGCTAATCACTCACCACAGGAGAACTTCTGCCGATGGTTTATTGTACATATTATACTGCCGATGCGTTGTTTGTCTCTTCAGTCTTGTTTACGGATGAGGCAATCATTGGAAGAGATGGAATAACAAATTTACACAACCAATATTTTGGGGCATAGCGGAATCCCCATGGTGCAATACAAGCTAGACACCAGCATCAGTTTACGATTAATGTGTAGGTTGGACTTGTAGGTGACTTTCTGGTATGTTCTCCCAGCACGACCTACAAGAGTTGTCTACAGGAACTTCATTTTGAACACACTTTCAGACCTGCTAGAGGATGTAACCTTTCTAATACGAAGACGCATGTGGTTCATGCATGATGTGGTACCAGAAGTTTTTGTCACATTATTCGCAATGCACTGGCTAACATTTACTATGAAAGATACATAATTAGTGGCGACCGGTTCCAGAGCTTGCTCGTTCGCCCGACCTCAATCTCTATTATTTTTATTTGTGGGGCCACTTAAAACAATTGGTCTATACAACAAACATAGACGCTTCCTCAACATGTCATGGGGGCCTCCGAAACCATTTGACACTGTGTGGTAGTATTTGAAAGTGTCCGCCAGTGAATAATAATTTTAGTTAGACTAAAGGAATCATTTTAGCGTCTGTTATATCAATGATATATTTTGTTAAACATTGTAAGTCGATACTGATCTGTCTCTCTCTCTCTCTCTCTCTCTATATATATATATATATATATATATATATATATTATAATTATTTAAATTATAATATATATAATTATATATATTATTATAATTATATATATATAATTATTTAAAAAAAATATGATTAAACTCTACTTCTATATGGAGCACTGTTTTTAAAAATAAAAACAAAAATACTAAAGAACTCCGGATTATTTACCTAACGTTTGCTTTCCTATTTTTCCACATATCTATATATATATATATATATATATATATATATATAGAGAGAGAGAGAGAGAGAGAGAGAGAGAGAGAGAAACAAAGAGAGAGAGAGAGATAAATGCATGCACACAGAAATATATGTACTGTGTACATGAGTGAGAAATATTGATACATTTTCGTTAACACCCTTTGAGCCCTAACCACCGTTTTACCGGTGGTAAAGAAAAATGACGTAATGCCCAGCTACCGATTGAACGGTGGGTAAACAGTTGTAACTTTTTTTTTTATATTTACCGTGAAACATTACATACCAATTATTTGTGAATTTTGACTCAAGAGCTCAAACAGAAGGGTTAAAATTGTTCAGGAACGCAGGGTACAAAGCGTTATTGGTTTTTCAAATTTTCTTTATTCTTCAATTTTTCATTCTTCTTGTTTTCATTCATCTCATTCTTTGACTATGCTCTCCTGCGCTTTTCTTTCTTTCATTCATCCTTTCCACTTCAGTAATGTTTTTTTTTTACTCAACTTCGTTATTTTTCTTTTTTCTTTTCTTTTTTTTCCCAATTCAGTTTTTTTTCCTTCTTTTCCTTCCTTTCACTTGTTCATTTTTAATTTTTGCTTTACTCCCGTCTTTACACTATTTTTCCAACTTCGCCCTCTCTCTTTCTTTCTTTCTTTCTTTCTTTCTTTCTTTCTTTCTTTCCAGATATTTTAGATTCTTCCTATGCACTCTCTTAGTTTTAACGTCTCGCACATTTCTTGTTCCTTCTATCTTATTACTTTCTTTTTATTTTTCCCCATCTTTTTTTTTTCTATCTTTTTTTTTAGGATGACTTAGCTTCTTTTCTTCTTCCTTTCTTTCCACCTTTTAATCGTCTTTTGTTTTCTTTCTTTCCGCCAACGTATGCTTTCCTTTGCCGCTTTCTCGCAGCAGTTTTAATTCTTCCAATTTTTCAATTCTTTCTTCCTTTTATCTCAATCCACCTCCTCGAACTTGACACTACTTCCTGTATACACATGTCCTCCCTCTTTCTTTCTTTCTTTCTTTCTTTCTTTCTTTCTTTCTTTCTTTCTTTGTCTCCTTTTCAAACCCATTCTAACCTGACCGCTCTCTGCCCATTTATGCCATCAAGACACGCTCCGCTTACAAACGTACAAGAGGATGTGAAAGTTCACACGATCAAGCGCCCCTGCAATTCTTTTCCTTCATTTGATTTAGAAGGACAATAAATGTAGTGCATTTAGCTGCTTTTTCTGTGGCTTGTATAAACGAAATAGAATCAGAAGTGGCCGCATCGCCCAGGTTTTAAGACTGCCGGTTCTTCTGAAGACACTATGTAGGACTGCGGGGTGCAAATGTTGCATTCTTTAGTATTTGTGTTGGTGGACGTTTTAAACATCTTAAAAGAATAACTAAGCTGTTATTGTAAGTTCATAAAAAGAAATTAATAAACGGTTGTAAGGCTACTCTATAAGTGCTACTGGTACTGTGTGACCCTAACCCTACCAGCTGCATGAAGACATATTGGCAATGAAACCGGTTCTTTTACCTGGCTTTTCTTGTGAGGGGCGTGGCTAAGTACGTAGAAAGACCTCTTGTAGAGTCAACAGCCATCTAACACAATGGTGTAGACTGGGCTCCATAGCCGAGGATGCACCCTGTACTGTGATGACAGAACATCGCGAGGCGGAGAGCTTCATTGACTGAAGTCAACGGCCAGGGAAGAAGGTTTTTTGTGACGGAATCAACGGTCATGTGCCCGTGACCTATGTGATCTTTTAAGTTAGATGATATCGATTGTGGTTCGAGCTGGAGAAGTAAGGACCCCACCAGGTCCACTTGCCCAAGTCGTCAATGCTTGGATAATTCTGCTTTCAACCTATATATGTGATGGGAACTAGCCATATATCTAGTTGCACAGACGCCCTACAACCACAGCCTATCATTGGACTGATGATGATGATGATGATGATGATGATGATGATGATGATGATGATGATGATGATGATGAAACTGCTAAGTTAGAAAATGGCTTCGGTAATCCTGGTAATATATACTTTCACTCGGACGCTCTGGATAACTAAGATCGTTATTGTTATCCATATGACGTGAGACTTTCCTTCTAAAGCAAAGATACATTACGAGTATTCAAAACAAGGCGAATAAATAAGAATGACAATTATTTTGATAAAAGAAATACTGTCGATTTAATATCGGGATTACATTTTTCAAATCCATATCTGATACAATGGCAAGTTTTAGGAGCAAACAAGAGAAGAAGGTTAAAAAAAAAAAAGAAAGATTTCGGTTGCGTCATGAACAGGTTTATTCTTATTGCTGCGGGTGAAAAAAAATGATGGCAGGAATTTTAATGGATGTTTTTAATGCAACAGGAGTTTTTCATTGAATCATCATCATAATCACCAACATCGGCAGCAGGAATTATGTCGTTTTCTTTTTTTTTCTTTTTTCTTTTCTTTTTCTTTTTTTTTTTCATCATTCTTTCACTCTTCCTCCCACCAAAATATCCACCCACACCTCCTGGTTTTCATGATTTTTATTATTTTTTGTATTCTTACAATTCTTTCGTTGTAGGTCTTTTGTGAGTCACGTAACGTTTTCGTGTGCTTCTAACGCCAAAAGTAATTAAATAAGGTTTCGTCATGTCTACAAGATAATGAGCATCACTCATCAGCTAAACAAAAAATAGGCCCACGCGTACACACACACACACACACACACACACACACACACACACACACACATATATATATATATGTGTGTGTGTGTGTATGTATGTATTTATAACTACGCAAGTTCCACTGGAGTTGCATTTGGGTATATATCTATCATCTAGCTATGTAAATATGTGTGTGCAATTTACATCTACCTGACTGTACCTTCGGGAGTCTTAACAAAGATAACGCTGACAAGGTCGAACTGGCGTCCTCTTTTGTAGAGCAAACCAGCATTCGAGCCGGCGTGGTTTAAACTGCTTAGCCACAGTAAGGTTCAAATGCCTTCTCGAACCATGTTGGTGGAAACATTTCCTTTATTAAGACACATGAATGGTAGATGTAATTCACACTGCTTAAAAAAATGAGGGCGTGTACTCAAGCACAACTAAAATGTAACGTTTAAGTAATGAGAAAGGATGTTGAATCAAGAAAATAAAATCGATTAATTTCTTAGAAATTATTTTTGATACGAAAATAAAGTTAGGGATGAGTAATAAAGTGTGTGTGTGTGTGTGTGAGTGTGTGTGTGTGTGTGTGTGTGTGTGTGTGTGTGTGATAAGTTTTAAGGTATGGCGTATTTATGTGTGCGGAATAGAGTGTGTGTAAATATGAGTGGACATTGAAGTCAACACGAGGGTCGCCATTTGGTGTTGACTTTAATGTTCACTCATATATCTATATATCTATCTATCTATATAAATAGAGAGATAGAGAGAGGTGACAGAGAGCGGGGTGAGAGAGAAAGAGAGAGGGAAGCGAGATATATGTTTTCATATAAAACCATGTGCTATTAGAAAATATATATTGTTCCATGTATAATTATAAAGATAAAAACATGCATACATACGTCTCTCTTTCTCTCTCTCTCTCTCTCTATCTATCTATCTATCTACGTCTATATCTATCTATCTATCTATCTTTCTCTCTCTGTCTCTGTCTCTGTCTCACTTTCTCTCTCTCTCGCTCTCTCTCTCTCTCTCTCTCTCTCTCTCTCTCTCTCTATATATATATATATATATATATATATATATATATATATATTTATCGTCGTCTAAGAGTCTTTATCAGATCCCTATATGCATACACACGTGCTCACATGCAATTAAGATAAACGAAGTACATTTACAATGATTGTCGTTTACGCCTATTACGGCAGGTAATATTATACATATTTTTGTATATATATACATATATGTATGTATATATATATATATATATATATATATATATATATATATATATAGAGAGAGAGAGAGAGAGAGAGAGAGGGAGGGAGGGAGAGAGAAATGGGGGAGAGAGATACATTTGCTTGTCGAAAGCAAATATATATATACATACATACACAGATACTTATGCTTGTCGAAAACAAATACATATATGTGTCTGTCCGTGTGTCTGTCTGTCCGTGTGTGTGTGTGTGTGTTTATTTGGCAAAAACTGCAGGAAATGATTCATAGATTCGTTTTCGTTTTTTTAAGTGTACAGAATTATTTATTCTCTTGACTTTATCACCCGATTTTCCCCAAATATATCTTTGGCTCTAAATATTATCTTACCTGTTTGTTATTCTTTTTTTCTAACTCAAATAAGCAACAATTTTAAAATTTCAATTAATTGCGTCAGTTACTCTTCGCAGAGATCAGGTTTTTGTTTGTTTCGTTTTTTGTTTTTTTTCTGAGATTTCGCTGATTTTAACGTTCCTTTCATTCTTGTCCAGCAATTCTTCGACCTTCATCAGTTTACAGCGTGGTAATCAGTTGATGACATTAGTTAAGAAATGTTTTTATTTTATAGGTGGTGGTTGGAACTGATTTCACTGAGCTGACTCAAATAGAATTAGAATAAAAAGATAAGAGTTGAAAGTCTTTTGCTTTAATCTCAGTAAATATGCCTTTTCGAGTGGATTACCACAGATGTACCCAAATTTGACAAAAATAATTTAACCCCCCCCCAAAAAAAAAAACAGTTTTATTTTGGATCAATCGTTAGATTATATAGGTAAGTGTCATGAGCTTACAAAATTTATTCGGAAAAAAATTTAATAAAAGAATGTACTTTTTATACTTTTCATAAGATTATATATATATATATATATATATATATATATATGCTTTAAAAATCAGGAAGTAAGTTGAATCTGCTACCTTGGTTTCAACCTTACGGTATCCTCAGGCGATTTTTATCAAATGGCATCTTAACGCTTTCTTTTTCTTTTCTTTTTTAAACTAATGAACGCTGTATTTTTTAAATAAATAAACAAACACCTGATACATTTAAAAAAAATATAGAGTTCATTAGATATTTAAAGAAAAACAAAAGCCTTAAGAGGTCATTTGATAAAAATCGCCTGGAGATAATGTAAGGTCGAAACCAAGGAAGCGGAGTCAACTGATCTACCGTATTTTAAAGTTAAAATGCTCTACATGTTTTTTTTTGTTTTTGTTTTTTGTTTTTCATACGTGTATTGAGCACTTTTTAATACTACTATTCTCTGGTCTGATTCAACTCTGACCATTTATGTATTATATATATATATATATATATATATATATATATATATATACACATAAAAGGTAAATGGTCAGAGTTGAATTATATATATATATATATATATATATGTGTGTGTGTGTGTGTGTGTGTGTGTGTATATATATATGTGTGTGTGTGTGTGTGTGTGTGTGTGTATATATATATATATATGTGTGTGTGTGTGTGTGTGTGTGTGTGAAAAATATATAGAAAATAGGAAAGAACTCGTTAGGTAAATAATCCAAAGTTCTTTTATTTTTGTTATTATTTTAAAAAATAGTGCTCAATACAAAAGTAGAGCATAAATATAATTATTTATTTAAAAATATGATTCCAACACGCTACATAAGAGTTCTCATGTTTCAAAACAAGAGCCGAAAATTTCAATATAATTATTTGAATTAAATTGAATTAAAGTACTAAGCTCTGTTCCATCTTCAAGCGAAATTTTTGGAATAAATTATTTCTGAAATTTACGTGTTTTATGCTTATAGATAGATAGATAGATAGATAGATAGATAGATAGATAGATAGATATGGATACTTGTGAGATGATGTGCCTAAACTTTTGACCGGTGCTTATCGGAAAAAATTTTTCCACAGACCAGTCAACATTAAACACCCAATCCATTCTTCACGAAACAGCTATCAACAAGCACTATTGTTCCACTCCGTCACCTATTTTTTTAATCGATATTTTTCTTCTCAAACAAATGGAAAAAAAGGAAGTGATGTTTCATATACGGCTTGCCTACAAGCAGGATTTTTCTTACCGATTTTCGATTCTCACCCGTCGAAGAGCAGTTGAAATGCACTGAAACCAAGTTGCATCTTTGTAGTGAGTAAAATGTTTTTGTCTATATGATAAAATTATAATATATATATATATATATATATATATAGATAGATAGATAGATAGATAGATATAAGTTTCGTTAAAGACGACTAACAAGGTATTGCGATTAAGTTTTTTATTTCATTTTTTGTGTACGTACAAGTGTTTTTCTTTTCTGGACACAAAGTGTGTAAAAAATGTGCAAAAGTTCTGCCTGTCCGAACACTTTCAGTTATACCTTTAGCCATTATCAAGGATGATTTTATTTTTACTTTTAACTGAATATATGAATTGTGTTATGGATGTATCTAGAGTCATAGGAATACTTTATTTTACAAACACAGTCAGCACAATCTGGCTGTGTTCATATTTAATGTTATTGTCTGTTCGCGTGTTTTTTATTATTAGAGCTTCCATTATTTTTAATCTTTTTTTCCCATGTGGATGAAGTCATTATGCTTGTATTTTCTACTAGTATGTTTCGGATGGAGTTTGGTAGGTTTTTGTGAGTGTTTAAATGAGTCCTAATGTTGCTATGGTCGGGTAGGTGTAATGTAAGTCGTCTGGATAGGCATGTAGTTGTGTGACCGATGTAATTATTTATGATTTTGGTTTGATCAGGAACGCACTTCCTTGACGAGCGTTTGGACTCATAAATAATGTCGATGCTTTGTAGTTTTGATTTTGCAGGTGTGTTGTTATTTTTGATAAATTTAGTGGTTTTAAATATTTTTTGTAATAGACATATATGCATGTGTGTGTTTGTGTGTTTGTTAAAGTAGGTCAATCAGCTCTTAGCCTGACACGAATGTTAGCAAAATTTTGATCGGAAAATGTGTCTGTGTGTGTACGCGTGTGTGCGTGCATGTATTGGTTGTATGAGTATGTAGGCAATTTATATGTATACAGATATAGATAAAACAAACAAGCACAGAGACATACAGACTCAAATGTCAAGCTAGAAAACATGATAAGGCAGAATAAGGGGGTTTATGACAGCTAACTTATCCTCGGAGATTCCCATAACACATTGTTTTTTCTTTCTTCTTTTAGATAAACTGATGGCGCCAAAGTGAACATAAACTAAGCTTTTCTTCGGTGAAACGCGTTTTTGTTTAAAATTTTTCCATTTTGCCTCATTATTTTCACATTTGCTTCGGATACTATTATACACCCTGCCAACACACACACACACACACACACATATATATATATATATATAATGATCAAAATCACTATGAAAAAATGATTAGCATGAGTTTTAAAAAGCTGTATGGTCGTATTCCGGAGAAAATCTGCATATATTGGTCGTGATACGTTGGTAATACGTTGATGTTGGCATCAGTGATCAAATGAACAGTCTTATACACCCGTAGACCAAGTTCTGGACGGTCATTCGTACCGACTCTGGATAATGGCTCGGAATTGTAAATCCGAGAGCCGGGTTCTAATTACAATAGTGTTCATCATATTGACTTGTGCGCAAATACCCTTGGGAAAGGTATGAATCCACTTCTTCTCCCCAGCTATGGATTAATTAGCAGGAATTGTGTTAGTTAATAATTATTCTTTCTACAAAATTCTTACAACTTAAAAATGTTTTCTGACTTTAAATAAACTGCAAAGGGTTGATAAGCCGTAAAAAACAAATCAATATAGCCTCGAACCTGAAATCTAGACGATACAACCGGGAGTTGCAGCTTATTTTAAGAATTAGCTAGATAGTTTCGAAAGCTACTTTTAACGAGTTTATTATTCAGTATGGACATGTGGCAATTTGATGATGTCCTATACTCACACGTTAGAAGATAATTATGCACATCGCTGATTTTGATATTTTATTTTTATTAAAAGGAATGGCAAAAAACAGAAATAATAAAAAAAATATAAAATAAAAATAGAAATAATAAATAAAATAATATAAAAAATAAAGATAATGTAAATAAAAATGATAATCAATGAAAGAATAATAACTAATAATAAAAAGTAATAATGAAAGGCAAGAACTATCCTGAGGAGTTACACACGGTAGGGGTGGGGGGAGAACATTGTATTGAGGGTATATCTCGTGAGCACGGACTGTCCACATTGTTTGCATCTTTGAGTTCCCATCAAGGCTGACAGGAAGAAAAGAAAACAGAAGAAGCTAGAAGTGAAGATAAGAATGTCAAGATAAAAAGGGTGCGATTGAATAAATAGACGAACGGTTTAAAGAACAAAGAATTGCAAACAAAAATGCTATAGTGTTTATGTCAAGTTATTTGGAACAATATCACAAGGTATTAACGCTCAACCCTGACTGTGTGTAGGATCTTTACTTCGACTCTGGCGTCTATTGCTCATCTTACTTTAATCCCCATTCTCTCATCTTTCTTTCTTTCTTTCTTTCTTTCTTTCTTTCTTTCTTTCTGTCACAATCTGTTCATATCTATCTATCTATCTATCTATCTATCTATCTATCTATCTATCTATCTATATATCTATCTATCTATCACAATCTGTTCATATCTATCTAGCTAGCTAGCTATCACAGTCTGTTTCTATCTATCTATCTATCTATCTATCTATCTATCTATCTATCTATCTATCTCATTTCCTTCATATCTATCTATATCATTTTATTCATATTTATCTATCTATCTACCTAGCTAGCTAGCTAGCTATCACTGTTTATATCTATCTAGCTATCTAGCTATCTGTCTGCCTGTCTCTGTTTCTATCTATCTATCTATCTATCTATCTATCTATCTATCTATCTATCTATCTATCTATCACAATCTGTTCATATCTATCTATCTAGCTAGCTATCACAGGCTGTTTCTATCTATCTATCTATCTATCTATCTCATTTCCTTCATATCTATCTATATCATTTTATTCATATTTATCTAGCTAGCTAGCTATCACTGTTTATATCTATCTAGCTAGCTAGCTATCACTGTTTATATCTATCTATCTAGCTAGCTATCTATCTGTCTGTTTGTCTATCTCTGTTTCTATCTATCTATCTATCTATCTATCTATCTATCTATCTATCTATCTATCTATCTATGTCTATTATCTACTGTCTTAGTCTCTTCATATTTATCTATCTATCTGAAAAAGATTATTCAGGCCTTCAGTAATGGTACTCTGGTGTCCATCTTCAAAGTCCATTCAAGAACCATCAATAAAACGGTGAATAAGTTTTAAAAAAGAGAGAACACTAGAGAGGAATGCTGGATCAGGTGGTCACAACAGGAAGAGGGATCATCATTTCAATTTAGAGCTAAAGAGATCAATTAGAAAAGATCCAACTCGATCCATAAGAGAGGAGTTTTAGTTATGACAATCCAAAGAGCAGTGAAAAAAGTTTTGAAAATGAAACCGTTCCTGAAATCTACGAGGCAATTTGTTACTCCAGGAGAGAGAAAATTTGGAGCTTAAGGAGGGCGAAGATCATCTTGAATAATTTGAAAAATGATCCTGGAATAATATATATATATATATATATATATATATATATATATATATATATATATATATATATATATATATTTGAATTTTATATCATTCCTTCATGAGCTTCCGATCCTTAACTATATTTAATTAATGATGAACATATTATTTTCGTTTATGATCGATTTCATCACGATTCTTCTTCTGTTAAGTTTAGAGAGTAATTATACATTCTTATTGCTCAAAGTGGAGTTCAATAGTATTATAAGAACCTCGGCGAATATCTTTAATCATTCCTAAGATACCACGGTTCAAAACTTAATCTAACAATTGGAGAATTATGCTGTTACATCCGCTATATTCATAAGTATAAATCACTCAAATAGATAGATAGATAGATAGATAGATAGATAGTGTTAACTTGTTTAGAATTAAGCGTTTGTTAAGGTTCAGTGCAGGACACAATTCCTTTAAAGTATGCTCTATTTATTTCGCCACATTTATTTTTACAAATACACAACAACATTATTCGTTTCTGGCTCTAAGAGACTCGCTGAATGTTTTTTCCTCATCTTCTTTGGTTTTAAGCTGTTCATTGTTTAAAAAAAGAATCTCGTATTTTTAGAAATGCTTCACCCCGATCGACCCATTTTGCAGATCTTTTCCGATTGTCGTACTCATTATAATATCTTTTCTGACGATGACTTATCCCCTTAACAAAATATTCGAGCTGATTTCGTAATACCAATTTTGTTAAACTTGTAGAACCGCTGCTCTGTGTAACAGACTCCCAAAAGGATGTTTCCCAGATCACTACAATATTAACCACTTTAAGTCTAGAGTTAACCGTTATCTTCCCCTCTTATTCGTATAAACTAACCCTTAATGTAACCCTCTATTACGAGTGCCCCCACCCCCGCGCTGTGTATTTGATGAACCTTACTGTAAAAAAAAATTTTTTTTCAAGTTCCCATTAATAGATAATCGTGAGCCGATAATTTTTTTTTCTCAATGTTCATAGTCTTCGAAACTCTCTTGTCGGAATATTTCGAGTTGATACTAAAATCATGTATTAATCATTTGACAAATGGCCGATTGATGTTCTTCGTGTTCCCTTTGTAGTTTTTCATTCAAATTTTAATTCAATAAAACAATTATGTAAAATTCCTACTTGTTCATGTTGTTGTTGAGGTTTATAAATCCAATCTAAAAAGTGCTGAAAAGTTAGACAAGAGATTTTATGAATTGTCTCTTAGGTGGAGTAATAGATAGCGGCTCGGACTAAGGAATCGGAGAGCCGAGTTCGAATTCCATTCGAATCAATAACATTCACTTACATGCTAATACCCTTGGGAAAGGTATGAATCCTCTTCTTCCCCCCCTCCTTAGCTATGGGTAAATAGCAGGACAGATGACAACTTGTCTACCGTAGAAAACCTACTGCAGTCAGTCATGTATCGAAAGATACATGATCGCCTAAACGTATATCACGCATGGCTGACAGGAACTCTGTGGAGCAATGGTCTGCAAGTTAATCTTGCTGATAATTAATACCGTAGTGAATTTGATCCTTCATTTATGGCCTTGTGCCAGACTAAGCTAAGCTTCGTAAATATCGTGGTCGCTTGTTACAGAATGAGGGGGGGCGTAGAATTCTGACAATGTTGGATTACTTTGGTTTAAGTTTTGATATAAGAAACAATCCTATGACTATTATCTGTCATATAATAAAGCGAGGTAAAAAAAAAAAGAAAAAAAAAGTTCTATGATTTAGCGTTGGAATCAGAAGAACTGTCACCAGAGACGACACAAAACGCAGAACAGGTTTTGGTAAAAACACCAGAATCATGAATGCTGATTTTTAAGTAAGTAAACCCTGCTGACAAACAATCTTCCTAATCTGTTTTGTAGCATTGAGGTCAGCGTGCTAGTCTTAGAAGTAACAATGTAAATAGATGACAAAACAAATACTTGGAAGGATAGTAAAAATATGAACATTGCTAAGAGCTACAAAGAAGAAGAAGTGGAGAGACATGATTGCCAACCTCCTGGAAATTCGAGAGAAACGATTACTGAACAAGTTGAAACATCCAGAAGAACTTGGAATGTTCTGTTTTGTTTTTGTTTTGTTTTTTCAGACGAAAAAAGGCGAACCCCGTAAAAAAATGACGGATGATTATGCACGGATCCTTCTGATGTCCGCCATGATATGCACGCCGAGTTTCCTGCTTCTGCGGCGGTTTTAGGTGTGGTTGAGCGGTGAAAGACACGTCATTCTACCCCACCATTCAACAGTATTTGGTTGAATGTTGCTGGCTACACTGAGGTGCTAGAGTCAGTTTTGAAGCTCTGGATAGGCATTTGTATTTATTTCAGCAGGACTCCGCACCTTCTCACAAAGTTGGGATAATCCAAGAGCATATCACACCAAATATACAATCATCTAATTCTTAAATCTCCTTCGCTATTACATATAGGGCGTTGTTGAACGGGAGACTGGGCGGCTTTTCCGCAATACTACTGATTTCCTGATAGCCGCCATTACCCGGTCATGTGACTCGTGCATATCAACGATTCTGGTCTTACATTGAAGCCACCCTTGCAACTGGAGGCGGTTAAATTGAATAAACATGTAATAAAATAACAACAATATTTGTGTACCAAGTTTTGTATGAAAAAATTTAGTTGTTTTAAGATGTGGTTGCTTTACTTATGATCTTCAATTTGCCATCAAATACATTACGTACCATGTACCATTATATAAAACAGAGGATGTGTGTGTGTGTATGTGTGTGTGTGTATGTGTGTGTGATAACTTTTCACTCGAGATCCATCTAACCGATTTTCACCAAACTTGGCAAATACATTGTATAATGTAAGATATAGGTTCTTAGAGTAAAAATCCACAATTAAAAAAAAACAATAATCGATAACGCCGATCAAAAATCGATAAATTCAATATTTTCCCGCCGATTTCGTTAAAACTCGGTATATAGATTACTTACACCATGACGAGCTCAACGATACCTCATTTTTTTATTTCTACGCCACTGCGTTTAGCGAAAAGCCGCATAAAACGAAAAGTGGATTTCAACACAAATCGATTTTAACACAAATTTTAAACTAATGACTCGCTCAATTTTCATGAAATCTAATACAAACTTCACTCACTTGTAACCAACAATTAGTTGGTTGTTTAACAGTCATTTAACTTGATAACTTCATGTCCTCGGCTAACTACTTCTGTTATATCAGTAACTGCATTAATTCTGTTTTTTAACGAAAGAACTTGAAGCAGATAGATAGATAGACTCTGTTACATCTAAACATGATGCTGCTTTTTCTCCATTCTAATTGAACGCTTTTTCTGAATATGGCTGCTAGTGTACTATAAAAATGTCGCCAGATGTAATAGTATGTATGTGTATTTCTTAATTCACATAAATCTGTATCCTCTCTATTTCTCTACATATAAGGATTATATGTAGAGAAATAGAGATATAAATCCATCTTATTGTTTTGTATATGTACAGAGAAAAAAAAAGTTTATATTAAAAGAAAAGTATAAATAACGGAAGGATTTTCTAAGTGGTTACTTCAAATAGAAAAGATAATTGCCACCTTCTCAGGCTGAATTAACATTTTCCTCATTCTACTTAACAACATATTTCCTCAAAGTCCTGAAATTCCGTTTTGTAATATTTTGGGCCGTTCTTAAAGCACACACTTTCGGAAGAATGAGAACTGCTAATCATGCATCAGGTTTTAAAGAACAGAGAAAATACACGAACAATTGGATCATAATTCCGAACTTTTTAATCCAAATTTTGAAATCTGGAAAAACCTGAATCTTGAAATGTCAAAATATAATATATTCATGAAGATAATTAAAAGTTTTTTAAAAGACATGTACTTTACAGTTTAGAAAATTCTTTCTTTTTTTTGGGTTTTCAAATAAAAGAAAGACATTGTTTTGAATTAACTTAAAACCCACCATTTAAAAAAAGAGAAATTTTAGGCCATATTTACGTTTATTAACAATATTTTTAAAGTTTAACCCCTAAACCTAACCTTACCCCTAAATGTATCAACAATCAACCTACCAATTATCAATTCGACTTTTTATTGCTCTTAGTTTTGCTGTGTCTATGGGAATTGTGGTTTTTGAGATTTTAGCCTTGCGCGATTTCCGTCTGGTAGGATTTCAACATTTGAGATTATGGCGTTCCCTATTGGATCTTTCAGCATTATGATCGGCACCGCCAAATTTCTTCAACTATTCTATTTTTAAAGTCTTTGTATACTCTGCGTTAAAGAGGACATAATCTTGTAAATTTACAAAGTGAAATGGTAATTTGAAGCTGTTAAACATCTCAATTTCTGCTTTCTGTTTATCAATAAAAACCATTTTGAGGTTTTATTCACCGTTCAAGAATGAACTGACCTTTTTATACACACCCAGAGGAAATGTTTCATGCAGGCATAACATTCAAACACATACGCAGATTCCAGCTGTTCTGCCAATTTTCAAGATACAAATCAAATGACGATTTATCGAATTTTAAACACAACCAGATTTGCATAAGCAAATAATAAGCCCAGATTAAAATTAAAAAAAAGCCTGATAGCAAAGATAAGCTTGAATTTAAACTATATTATGAGTCTATGCTACGCAAATGAACCTGTGTTAGGACGGTATTGATAATATTAGCCGTTTCCTTAGAAGGAAACATTCGCTATACATTGGCCGAACAGTCACTGTTACTGTTGATTGAAATTTATAAAATCTTTCTATTAAAACAATTTTTCAGGAAAATAGGTTTTTCAAGTGCACTTATCACACTTTCCAGTATGGAAGTGTTTTTCTTTCTTTTCTCACGTTTTCTTCGAAAAAAGTATGGAACATCAACATCTTCATTATGCCATCATTTTCTCTTCGAGTTACATATGCTATTCATTTTAGTTGTTGCTACTATTGAATGTCCTCAAATTATATGGTCTCTGTTATTTGGTACAGATTATTTGTTTGTGATTCTGTAGCGCCAGTCCACGAGGTTCGAAGAATGATGCTCCTAGCCTACAAGGTCTTCAAGCTTCATTCTCTCGAAGCCATTCTTAAAATTAATTATTCGAGAAAGCAGTTGTATTTAGTTGACAGTTTAGAGATTTCTGAACGTGTTAGACGCCTTGCATGACATCCGTATAATAATCTCGATCTGGCGAATCTTTTTAAAAAACATGACTTGAGTTTTTAGGTTCAATGTTTGGCTTTGTAGCAATTTGCGGTGTTAGGTAAAATTACTTCTAGCACAACCTATTCGATGTTCGAATTTATTATATCCTATACTATTTTTTATAATTGATCCATACACAAAGGTATTTGAAATCTTTGGTATTTTTCTAATTCCTCTTCCTGAAAGTTCCATCACTGTTTTTATATACAAATAATAATAATAATAATAATAATTATGATTGACAATTATAACAAAATAAACCGCTACATAAATGCAATTATGTTTCGACACTGTATGTGCCTCCTCAGGCGTTTTTTTTTTATATTTTCGGGTCTGCTAGAACGGTTAGTCAATCCTTGTTGTAGATGCTTGTTCACGCATATTTATTTTCGTTCAATACCAGCAGATCCCACCTGTGATCTATGCTGTAACTATGCTGAACGGACCTTACAGTTTCTGGGAGAGAGTACATAGTATGGGGTGATCAAAAATTTTAAACAAAGCCAGTATACTGAAATCCTCAGACACGATGACTTGTAACACAAACATACATGCCCGCACGCACACACACGCGCACGCGCACGCACGTACGCACGCACGCACACACACACACACACACACAAATATATATATATATACTCAGCCATACTCAGCTGGTCGATCAGAAAAAGCGTTCAATTAGAATGGATCAAAAACAGCATCATGTTTAAATGTAACAGAGTACCTTCAATTATTTTAAAGTATTTTCATTAAAAACATTTTAAATTAATGCAGTTACTGATATAACAGAAGTAGTCTGTATTTATTCAATCAAACTTAGCCGAGGACATGAAGGGGTAAAACAGGCAACATGAAGACCCACTTCAGACCACAATTATTTTAGAGTTTTGGAATTCAATTTGTCAGTGTGCTACCAGGTATGTAAAAGAGGAAGCATTTATAAAGCAATTATTAAGTTTGATTAAAATTGGTTGAAAGATCACCGAAAATAAAGAAAGAAACCAGTAAAATCGCCATTTTGCGCTGTTATTTCCCTATATGGGTGGATTCAATTATCAAGTTAAATGACTATTAAACAATAAACTTATTGTTGGCTACAATTGAGTGAAGTTTGTATTAGATTGCTTGAAAAATGAGGGAGTTTTTAGTTTAAAATTTGTGTTGAAATATATTTGTGTTGAAATCGATTTTTGGTTTTTCGCGGCTTTATCGGTAAACGCAATGGCGTAGAAATAAAAATGAGGTATAATTCAGCTCGCCATGATGGAAGTAACCTACACACCGAGTTTGAATGAAATCGAAGGAAAAAAGTTGAATTCATCGATTTTTTTTAAAAACCTATTTCTTACATTATACAATGTATTTGCCAAGTTAAAGCAAAATCGGTTGGATGGATCTTGAGTGAAAAGGTATCACACAGACAGACATCCTTTGTTTTATTTATATATATATATATATATATATATATATATATATATATATATATATATATATGTGTGTATCAGCTTGTGACTGGAAGCGATAATTTGAGGAAGATATAAATCCAGGAGATCTTAAACTACAAACCAGATTTTCGTTGTTCATGAAATAAAATTTTTAAACGAAATGGATAATTAAAGTCTCCGTCTTCTTATTATCATATATATATATATATATATATATATATATATATATATATATATATATATATATATATTGAGAGAAAGGAGAGACATAGAGACAGATAGATAGAGAACAAGTGTGTAATCTGCACTTAATAGATAATGTTATTTCCAAGACCACTGGTTGATTCCTGAATGCAGTACTGGATTTTATCGATACCGTTTTCATATATATATTTTGTAATTTAGAAACAAGAAGAGATTAAGTGTATAACTGTCTATATTTCTGAGATGAGGTATTATGTACACTATTTACATTATTCGGACTATTGTCCTCTTTGTTGCAATATCTTTCACAACGTTTCGGCCGTTGTACGCTCCGGCCTTCTTCAGGTGGTTGGAATGTCGGATTGAACCTTTTATTTCGCTCGCTGGGGTAGACTGTTCTAGTCGACTAGTGAGTTCAATACCTAGTTAAGGCAGTGGAGAACTTGGAGAGGTGAATTAACAGGAGATAACTAATAACTGGCATCCATTAGGAATGGAATGTGGAACTAGAACAGTCTACCCCAGTGAGCGAAATAAAGGGTTCAGTTCGACATGCCAACCACTTGAAGAAAGGCTGGAGCGTACAACGGCCGAATCGTTGTCGTAAATATGGCAACCAAGATGAGGACAATAGTCCGAATAACGTAAATAGTGTAAGTGTATAACTATTTATACTTGATGTCAAATTCATTTCGATCTCTTATCCAAAACAATAATCATACTTATTGTAAAACCCAGGTTGTGTGTGCGTGTCTGTACATTTATATATTGGATCGGATTTCCTACATTTTTCAACCGATTTCAACAAAAATTCACAGGACTACGTAAAATTACCGTGTGGTGGTTCTGAGAGCGCCAAAAATTGGAAAAACACAATTGTTTTTGCACGAAATCAATTTGAAAACACGATTAAGAGGCATCGCGAGAATGAAAGGGGGACAACTCATATGGAGTTATACTTATTATAAAAACCCAGGTTGTTTGTGTGTGTGTCTGTTCGTTTATATATGGGATCGGATTTCCTACATTTTTCAACCGATTTCAACAAAACTTCACTATTTTTTTTTTTGGCAGGCAGTGTTTCTTATTGTCTTGCACACTTTTTTCTTTATTTTTACATTCAGAATGCTTTAAAAATTCCATTTACAAGACAATTGTTTATAATAAAATTCTATTCAATCGGTATACTCATAACGATTGAAAACAATGTTTTTGTTTGAGTTTGGGTTTGACTAATTCGTAAAAAAAAAAAAAAAAAACTAATTAAGACATGCGTGTCCGTCAACCTTAAACAATAATCTTTGTCAATCTTATTTTTCAGTCTTTATGATGGTCGATACTTGATCTATCTCTTACTGTTAAATCCCCGGGCAACGCCGGGCTCTACTGCTAGTCATTTCTATTTGATCTCAAAAGCCTTTTGAAACTACGATACAAAGGTGATAATAGTTTCTACTTGATATAGAAGGGCTTTTAATATGGTGGATTGACTCAACGAGACTTCATTGCAGAAATATTCCCTGCTCGGTTTCAGAAAATTCAATTTTCTGTCATGAGTTCACATTGAATAAACGTTTTTTTTTTCGAATGTAGAAAAATTTATTCATTATATATGAAGAAGGAAGAACTCAGCAGATTTAACAGGGTTTTGTGTGCATATGTGTGTGTTTATGCGCATGTGTGTGCGTGCGTATATCTGTTTGTGCATGGGTGTGTCTTTAAGCTCGTGCCAACATAATTCCATTGCTTTACTTATGAGCCTGCAAATCTTGGTTTATATAAGATAAGGTGCTAAAACCCAGATAAGATCTATCTATCTATCTATCTATCTATCTATCTATCTATCTATCTATCTATTTGACTTCTGTCTGCCTGTCTATCAATCTATCTCGGTCTGTTCATTATATATCTATTTATACATATCTCTCTATAAGAAATCTACAGAAATCTTTACATTTTGTCTGTGGACGTACGTACCTATAAGCCGGTGTATGTGTACGCGTTTATATAAGCTGACATCAACATATTCTGATTGTTTTCCTATGAGTCTCTCTATCTTTATATATCTAGGGACCTACAAAGATTCGCTAAAAAATGAACATGCATGATGAAAAAATTCCCAAAATAAAAACAAGGTTTTATCGTCAAAATATTTATTATGAAGAGGAAAGTGAAAAGAATCTTTTTATATAAAAAATAGGGTTTTAGAAGATTCGAAATTTTGGTTAAATTTTTTTTCTTCTCTGGCGTCAATTATTATAGGAAATTAAAGCATCTTTTTTGCAGTGAAAAACATAGATTTGTAAATTCTTGCGAAAATCAGATAACTGTCAGGTTTTAATCAAACTTTCAGGATTTATTCATGAATGCAATTATTTTTTTTAAACGTTGCATTTTTAGAAACTCTTGGTGAAAACATTTTTTGTTCGACAAATTGTTAGATAAAATATGGCTGATGGAGAGGGGCATTTATTTGATTATGCTCGGTGGGTTGTTGAAGGATATGTGTATTTAAAGTGGGCAATCGTTTGGTTTTATGTACAGTTTATATCTACCTATGTTCAGATTTAAATTTCCGTCTAAGAAGTGTTTGTTTTTATGTTGCTTTTTTCATGTTGCTTTCAATGGTGTTATCTGCTCTCTGTTTGCTGTAATTTCTTAGGATTATGATCCAGTCGTCTATATAAAAATCCTATGTCTGTTTTGTTTTTAATCATAGCTACTGTGTGTAAGATACACACACACGCACATATTAGATATATATATATATATATATATATATATATATATATATATATATATATATATTATGAAATGGACAAAAGCCCGACAATTATTTTAAAACATTTTTTTATGTTTAACATTCTTTTTAGATACAAACATTTAAGTAAATTATTATAAATTATTATAAATTTATTATAAACAGAGCATTTACTTAAATATTTGTATCTATAAAAGAATGTTAAACATAAAAAAATTATATATATATATATATATATATATATATATATATATATATATATATATTTTGAAGAGGATAAAATCCAGGTAGAGCTCTATGTCAAGACATAAGCAACGCTTTAAAACATAAATACGGTTTTATAACATATTGTTCCCTATAAAATTTCGGACTCGTATTCCTAACATAGGATATGACATTTAAATGGATTGACACTTGTTATTACCTATATATCATTGTCTGTGTCGATGTGGTGATCTATATTTTTTAATTTGTTTTAGCGGTGTTAATCTATGTGTTGGTATATGTGTATATGGGTATGTATGTATCCAACTTTTTCTATATAACTGATATATAATATCAGATAGTTTTCTTATGTTTTTATATACGGAGGTTTATAAGAATTTAGATTAATTTTTAGACTTAATAGACGTACACTCGTTAATCTCCCCGTTTCTTTTCTTTTATTTCCTTTTACTTTGACTACTAATATATTTTCCGCTTTAATTTGAATCTTTAATTTTTTTCATGTTTTTATCATCTGTATTTTTATTTTACTACTGTTGTTATTACTGTCGTCTATTGTGATTATTATTATTATTATTATTATTATTATTATTTATTATCAGATTATCATTGATTATTTTTTATTATCTTTTATTTTTTTTATTTTCTAGTTTTATTCCTTTAATTTTAAGATTTCTGTTATTTTTACCGCTACCTTCCTTATTTCTAATTTGTTTTTAAGTACATATGAGATAAATCTTACCCAACAACTCATATATCTGTTTTTTATTTGTATATATGCATAAATATATGTATATGTGTGTATATATATATATATGTACATATATATTATAATTATTTCTAAAAAAATATGATTCCTTCTCATGTTTCAAAAACAAGAGCCGAAAACCTCAATATAATTATTAAAATTAAATTGAATTAAAGTATCAAGCCCTGTTTCATCCTCAAGCGAAAATTTAGGAATAACCAATCTTGAAATTTACGCATCTTTATAAGCATGTTCATTCGCAAAATTAATTACTATGGAAATGGCTGGGGCGACCATTTTGGTAAGGGGCCTAAGAGATAATTTTTATCCACATATCAGTCACCTTCGGAAAGAGGTCAAGACGAGGTAGGGTGGGGGTATTCATTTCAAAGCGAATGATGGAATTCATGTGCGCACATCGTCTGCTCAGTCACAGCGAAATATAGCTTTTGACACCATAATATGTCGTTAAGTGTCTATAGAATTTTGTTTTATTTTATTTGTATATATGAGTGTGTGTATGTATATGTGTATGTATACATATATACGTGTGTGTACAATTATATGCATATGTGCATGTGTGCACATGTGTGTGTGTATGTGTGTAGGTATATATATATATATATATATATATATATGTTTGTGTATGTGTATATATAAAATATATGTGTGTGTATGTGTGTATGTGTGTATATAGGTGTATGTGAAAATAAATAGTTGGGTTTTTATTGAAATATATATTTTTATATGTTTATGTTAAATTTATAATCTGTAAGGGAAAATTACATACTTTTCAAATTGTTCTTGATTACACATTCTTTCTCTTATAAATGTCCCTGTTTTCGTTTGGACTTTTCTATTTTCTTCTTTCTTTCTTTTCGTCCCAACCTTTTCCCTTGTATCTTTCTCTTCCTCTCTCTCATCTTCTCCTTTTATGTATACATAAGTTTAGTAAATGCAAACCAGACGACAAATTTTCATATATACATCGGCATCGTAAATTAGCTAGACGTTAAATTTGGATCGTCTAATGATTTTCCTCATTCATTTTATCTAGTGTCACCACAAATGTATCCATACTTTTCCGGTGTCTGTTTTTTTTTTTTTTTTAATTTAGGTCAATGAATCGGAAGTCGATTTATGCAATTGACAATAATTCGTATTTATCTGTATCTCACACCTTAAAACCTTTATTTAACTTCTCTCTTTAAAACTTCTCTCTTAAAAATTTTATTCCTCACCCTCACTTTGCTGTTCTACATCCTTCTTTGCACCTCACTAGATCTTTCATACATTTCCTTCTCACCCTTGTTTCTCCCCCCCCCACATATACACTATCACTGATTCTTCTTTCTTTTTTTAAACCCGGAGATATATTTTCTGTTTTCTTTTTGAATTGAGTCATGATTATGCTTCCAATGTAATAAAACCATGAAATATTAGTGTTTGAGCTTTATATATATATATATATGTGCGTGTGTGTGTGTGTGTGTATGTGTGTGTGTAAGTGAACATTGAAATCAACACTCAGAGGGCGACAGAATGTTTCATGCTAAACGCAATTGTCAGGCCACTATCCATCACTGAACATATATTAGATAAGGTCCTCTCCGTATCAAAGAACACTCAACAATCACAAGAAAATTATAAAGAGCTGCCGAAAATAACTTCTATTTGACTTCCTAAACTACGCATCCAGTATAATCAAATGCCACTCTCTATTAACCACAGATTATCTAACAAGTCGTCGAACAAAAAATTGTTAAGCGAAGCAAAAATCAGTTTGAAATAGGAGGAGAAGACTGCAGTTTTTCAACATAATTTACATTTACACATGACGGAACAAAACAAAATTAGCTTTAGTTATTCTCTTTATTAACAAATTATGTATTTCTGGTGCATAGGAAGGAAATTTGATGATTAAATAGACTTTTGCTTAAAATTTCTTTTAGTAAACACTGCAACTTTGGCATGAAAGTGCGTTTAGTGTATTGGTTATCAGCACTAAAATTGGAGTCGCTGAACCGAGTTCAAATCCATGCCAAGCCTGCTTACGTTTACTTCGTACTAATTAACTTGATAAAGATACCATAGACGAAACATGTGAAGTAAAAGGACTTTTCTAAGTAGAGAAGAAGAAGAAGAGAAAATGTAAAATTTCTTATCCAGAGGATTATGAATGGCGCAAACAAAAAACACTAAACTTTTAATCTGGTGTGAAATTTGAAAGAAATTTACATTTATTAAATGACATAAAAATTAATGATAATATAAGAGACAAAATTTAAAAAAACAGGTTTGCATAAAAATTTCATTTGTGCGCCTAACACTTAGACAACAAGATCTAATTACAATTCTGTTAGGCCCATAAAAACAATTATTATCTACAAAATGTTCACTTACTTTGATTCATTCGACTGTCGAGGGGAGGCGTGGCTGGGTTTTTGGCTAGACAATATTTCAGTTTTTAAAATGACATAAATCTCGTATTTCCATAGTTAAGAAACAAGTTTAATACCCCAAATATTGTGACAAACTTTCACAAATAACTATAGATCTACATATATATATATATATATTTGTAGAATTTTCTCCTTTCTGCCTTTATTTCCATTTCTTCTGTTACTTCTTTTCCTTTTCCTTTTCCTTTTCCTTTCAGCCACTTTCTTTTCGACGTCGTCGTTAGATTTTCTTTTGTTCAAATCCAAGAACTACGCAATGGCTTCCTTCTGAATGCTAAAACCCTTCTGCATTTTTTCTTCTTCTTTTTCTTCTTCTTCTTCTTCTTCTTCTTCTTCTAAGTTCAGCTAGTAACTGTCAACGCAACGACTTTCGCCTATGAAAACTAAATCCTTTGTATCTTCTTCTTCTTCTTCTTCTTCTTCTTCTTCGTTCAGCTGCCAACAACTGCCAACAAATTTCGCCTGTGAAAACAAAATTCCTTATGCCTGTCTGACCAGCCTGATTTCTTAAATAGCCACAAATCGGCACCGAATTGAATCAGTAAGTCGTAACTTACTTTTCCCATTGGTTAAAAAATCACAAAACCAAATTTTATTCATATATGTTTTTAATGAACCGAAGAATTCATTTTGCCGGTTCTTTTGCACCTTCAATTTGAGCCTCAATATACAAAGTTTAACACATTCAAATTTTTT